ATGTTTCCTTTTTTTTTTTTTTTTGAGGAACGATCATGTCTCCTTGATATCATGATAGCTAACACATTCATCACGATTATGAGCTATACCACCATTTCTTAAAAAAAAAAAAAAAAAAAACAAAAAAAACCTTACCACCAAAGTATCTTAAACGTAGGTGTTGTTTGGTTTAAATAAAAAAAACATGGGAATCGGGAGTTCTTAGAAATTGCAAAATGAGTAAGTTGTTTGGTTGAATAAAATTTGGAGAAATGAGGATAGTAGAACTTCTTAATTCCCACAAAATTTTGAAATTTACTTACCTAGTCCCCCCTAGGTAAGTTGAAATTCCTATGGGAATTTACTTCTCTCGTTACTAACCAAACAACTTTAGAAATTCCCTTGAATTTGGTTGAAAAATTTAAGTCCCATATATTAGAAGTTCACGGGAATTTTCACTTCCTATGTTAACCAAACGACCCCTTATATACGTGGTATTTTTCATCAATTTCCAAAAAAAAAAAAAAAGGTTATGAATGAAAAAGTTTATAACCTCTACTGTACTATATCACAATTCATCGTGTTTTTGAAAGAAAATTTGATAAGAATAATCATGACTACAAAACAAAAAATATAATCTCAGACTTCACAAATTTCCATGTTAATATCAAATTTGCTTGGTTAATTAACTATATTGGTATAAAAGTTAAGTAACGACAAATTGGTATAGATCCTTATAAGACCAAAAGTTATCACCCGTTTTTATTAAGATCTAACTTTTTGACCCTAGAGGTAAGATTAAATGTTTCATTATGAAATTATGATTGTGTTATATAAGTAAATTTGAGCTACTTGAATTTAACTTTTTTTTGGACAAAATGCTATGAGTATATAATATAGTTTGACACAAACTTAAATTATATATATTTACTGATCCAAACTTAAATTATCTAATTAATTGTGTGTATGTGAATTGAACTTATTAGAGCTTATAATTTGAGTCTTTTGAAGCTAATAGTACCTATCTAAATAATTTATCTCTTTCTTAAAAATAATTTGTCTAGAAAAACAACTTTGTCTATCATTTTCAAATAATTTGAAGCAAGGTAGCATGCATCATTTTCTAACCCCACTAGAAGTGGAATTTATGGAGTATATTTGTCCTATTGTAAAATACTAAAATAGATATGACTTGAGCCAATTACATACCCAAAGTGGACAAGTTTTCAATTGTTGGCCACTTTGAACAAATTTGCTTACGTGGACAAATTTGCTAATTCCAACAATAACCCAATAACAAAAAATGTTTCTTAGTGAAATAAATCAAATCATAAAATTTGGGGAAGTGACAAATAATTGTAAAAAATAACAAGTTTTTATTTTACTGTAAAAATCAATTTGGTATATATATATGTATGTATATATATATGTATATATATGATTAGTCTCGAAAAAATATGTTCTAAGATTAAAGTGTAATTCTTTCTAGTAACTAATCAATTTAATAATTTTTTGAAAATGAAATTTTGAAATAGATGGTTAACCACTTAAAATTTTTATGTATGTTGTATGAAAAAAAGTTGATAATCTAAAAATGTAAAAGTTAAAATAAAATTGTCACTGTTTGATCTCAAGATAAGTTTGTAGTCATTGCTCTTTGACGTCTAAAAATTGGATAAGGATTCACATATACATATATAGAGTTCTCCAAACTATTCTTCTAATTCACGAACTTCCAATTTCACTACATTCAAAATATAATCAGCTGCTTTATTATCGTATTGTTTATATTAAAGGTTTCTATTGTGAACTTTGATCCCCTCATCAAAATTAGGTAATAATAACATTCTTAAGAAACTATTTCCACAAGGCTCAAAATAAAGTTTGTTATCATGATTTATATCAAAAATGAAAATACAAAGATCGATCGAAAGATACATAACCACATGGTGCACACGCATACGTAAATTCACCTTCATACATCATACTTCTATAGTTTGCAATGTCAATAGATTAGATGCATGCTCAATATCTAGAGCGCAAAACTTGCTTAATTGTGCAAAATTAAAGATACTAAAAAACTTGCATGCCTTGAGAAGAGATATCAAATCTTTTGTGGAGATTGGCGATACAAAGTTGGTGTGTTGGAAAATAGGGAAAAAGTGCTCAACCTCCAAGACAAGGTGTTAGCAAAATGTGGAGTATAAAGAGCTTCTAGAAAATCCACATTTTTTTTTTGTGCTTAGTAATATTCCTCATTATTATGGGCTTAGACCAAAAAATTTATGCCATGTGAATGTGGTAAAAGGGCAATATTCCTACTTGAGTGGTGCGTCTTGTTGTTCATTTGTGAATGCAACTCACCAATACAACTTTCTTTTCTTTTGGGCTATCATAACTGTATTTGTCAGAGAAGCAAACTAGTAGCATAAGTACTTGTTTAGCTACTTAAGGGATTATAATATCACAAATACTCTAGAAGATTTCGTGTATACGCTACATTAGCTATAGACCTAGTTATTGGACTGGTCGGTTTAAGGACAGTGTCGGTCAAAAGTGAGTTGGATACTTGGGTCATATCATGGTTGTCTTGGGTCATAATTAGCCAGGCCAAAGTGGAATGAGGGTCAATAGCGAGGTTGATAGAGTGCGGACCATTAAGCAAGCTAGAAATAAAGCAAACAAAAATAGTTGAAACTAAGTATAAGTGAGTATCAAGCTATACAAATTAATTTTTATTATACGAAGTATAACTCTTTCTTATTTCTACAGATTATTGAGATACTCTCTTAGTTTGACCCTAACCATTTAAACAATGGGCTAAATTCCTTCATATTTTTGTAGTCAAAGACTAGTAGTACTGATGTGGTACAACTGTACAAGTGTCGTGTGAAAATATCTCGGAATCTCGGATGGCAAGGGCAGAATAGCTAGCAAACATATAGGCCATTTGAAACTGAACTCAACACAAGTGAAGATATGAACCAAAAAGTATCATATTACTCATGGTAGTACATACTTCGTACAAAATCAATTAGTCGTATATACTCAGTACTATTTTGCTACAATTTTAGTCAGAGCTTTAACATACTCAAGAATCCTTATCTGGAATGCAGTACTTGTAAAAAAAACAAAGAAAGTGAAAAGAAATTAAAGCACGAAAGAATACATGATGGCTGACTTCTAGTTCCAGAGGATGCACGATGTAACTGATGCAGAATTACAGAGGTCTAGCCATTTGTAAATTGCTTGAAGAGAACTTCTCGGATCTTGAAATGCTCCTTTGCTGCAACATAGTGTAAATCGTGCAATTGCTGGCTTGTTGCGACAATATATCATCAAAAGCAGCTTCAAAGATAATGACTTACAATTAAGGTACCTTGACACAAGTAGACGTAGACAGACCTATCTTTGATGCATCATGGTTTTAGTGCCACAAACTCCAGCCTTAAGGGATCATAGATACTTTACATACTTTCCCTTATAATTTACCTGATGTAGTGTGCACTTGAGCAATGAAGCAACCAACAAGGGACTTGCAAACTGCAAGCACTGTTAGTGATGCCCTTAAGAGGCCATAATTAGCATTTACACTCGCTAGCAAGCATGCAAGACAGAACTGAAACGCAATTTTTTTTTTCAAAGTAAAATTAACAACACTACACCATCCCTAACAAAAAAGTAGACATAGGATGAAGAAGAAAAAGAAAAAGGAAACGACAGCATGTATGGAGGTGGAGGGGGAGATGAATAACTTGACTGAAACCAGCAATTCATGATGCTATTTAAGGAAGCATGGACAAGAGAAATTGCCAAACACAAGTCAGATGCCTGACAGATTGCTATGGTATTTAAGATCAAACAAAAAATCTTAAAGAGTAGAGCTTCCAATGTCACCATATAATGGTGCAGCATTCTAGAATGTACCTTAAGTTATTGAATGAAAGACATTAAAGAAAGGAAAGTTGTAAACAGAGACAAAAAAACTATTAAATGTCCAAGAGCTTATGCCTAATGAAGACTAGGAAGCATCAAGCTTGCATAAAAACTGAATACCTCTGTACTATTGCACTAATAAGCAGTTCAGAACCAGCAAGATGAAGTAAATGCAAGAGGTGGGTTATCAGGGAAAGGGAGGGTTAAAAAGAATCTGGTTAGTCTTGAATGACCTAAGAGGTAAATGTTTGACCCGTATCTGTCCACACAGTAGTCCTAATAGAGCGCGGTCATCAGAAGCCATAGTTGATGTTGGAGCAAAAACTATGGAACCCTCCAAAGCTAGAAGGGACCATCCATAATGCTCCAAAAATAGACCTGTTTGTACAATATCTACAGCAGATATTGTTTAGAAGTTCAGAATATTGTTTACAGTATTGCTTAGAAGTTTCCTAATTCAGTTTTGTGCATCACAATATCAATGTGTTACTGTCCCAATGTTGTTACCTAAGAAAATTAATGGTACTCAAACATTGGTGATTAATAGTTCATGAAAAAAGCCATAATATGAAACAATATGCCAAACAAAGCCCTATATTGCAGAGTTTAGGATCCAGGACTTCTGAAATTTTGAGTTACAGCATAAAGGAAGTGTTATAGCTGGAAACAAGAGATGTAAATTATTCAAAGCACATGTCCATGCAAGATAACATATATAAATTAAGGTTTTATGTTCCGTAAATGAAAAGAAGAAAAGGCGTACCAATAAGAGTAAGTCTGTGGAAAAATCTACTTGCAGAAACAGCCAATTACTTTATAAGATGAGCACTTTTGGAGTTCATTCTTCAGCCTTGATAAAAATGAAAGTGCCCGGAGAGATCGCATACAAGCAACATGTGTTTACCTTAAGCTGATAGAAAAATGTAATAACTAGAGAAACACAACAAGAACGAGCCACCTCAGTAAAATCCAAACTCTAATATCTGTTGTTGCAAGCAGATATCGCGTATAATCTGTGCCAAATACGACATTTGCAACTTTCACCAATCCCCATTCCCAAATTAGAAAAAGGGAAAAGCAAGAAAAACAAAAGGAAAATAAATATTTTACCCGAATCACCAGACTAGAACAAGTAATAAAAACACTATATACAGAAAATTACATGAATACAGAAAATGATGGCAACAGGAAAACTTACATTCCTTCATATTTTCACTCCATTTCTTTCCAGAGAGAACCTAAATATAAACTTTTTACAGTGTCAATATTCATTACTACCAGCGTTCAGAAGTATCACTGTTTTCCCTATGACCCCCAGCCCCAGGCCTCCAGAATTGCTGCTCTGCATTGACGTCCACCGGTTGATCATACTCTTCATCAGTGTCTTCCTCGCAAATTTCAAATTCTGAATCATTCCCGTCAAATAGATCCTCAAATCTATCATCTTCAGTAACGTCATCAAAAGGTTCTAGCTCCTGATGAACAACAGCAACAGGATGATCTTTAATGAGAGTGTCATCATTAGCTAAGGCCAATTTCATTTCTCGCCTTATTCTCTTGCCATGCCTGACCAGCTCAAACAAATGATCTTTGATTAGTAGCCCTTCATCCTTTTGGATGAGTTCACCATTATCATCATATGCCTCAACCAAGAACACTGAATCCCTCTGGCCCTTCAAACTTACATAAAACAGCTCTGGATGCGGAACTAACATAGCCCTTAACTTGTTGGGTAGCCCAAAATCCTTTCCGAAATGTGTCAAATGGTCAATTAACGTCCTCTTCTCAATTGTCATCCCCAAAATTTCCCTCACTACACTGCAAGCCCTCTTTTCTGCTTCTAAAGAATTCTTATGAAATTCTTCAAAAGAAGTCTTATAGGGGCATATATCTGGCAATTCTCCAAATCTAATAAAAAAATCATGATCCCGTCTCTTCACAGTTAAGCCCTTTCTCAGTTTCGCTAGCTTAAATTTCAAGGGCCGATCCACGATCAGCTCATGTGAGTGATTGCTAAATTTTGGCAATGGTTCTGCTAAATTTGGGTCCCAAGAAACAAGCTCAAGAGCATGACCATAGGATGTATCAACAATCTTGAATTTTCCAGGATGTTCATTGCAGATACGGGATCTAACATTAGGTGGTAGCCCAAGATCAGGGCCCAAATGCACAAGCTTTGACATAACAAGCCTCTTATGAGGAGAAAGCATGAGAAGCTTTTGAAGCTTGTTGGCCATCAAAACAGAAGCAGTAGACCTAAGAAGGGCTTCTCGCATAGAAAGCGATTCAGCTGCAGGGGTTAGACGCACACATAGTTGGGAGTTTGTTTTAGTTGCATTGAGTGGAGTAGGTGGATATGGCACATAGAAGAGCTCGAAAATGGTAGGATAACGTTGGATCATGGAGACAATAGACCGAGGCTTTGTTAGAGATAAGTAGGAGCGGCATTTGGAAAGAACATAAATAGACATGTAGTGCTTGGGTTTTGAAAGAAGCAAATTCCTAAGCTTCTGCACAAACCGAATTCTATTCTGTTTAATCACATGCCTATCTAATGAACGATCCCATACAAGCTTCGGAACAGAACAACAAATCAAAAGTGACCTCCTCCTACATTTCCCCAAAGAAACAAAACCACCCCCACCTCTACCAATCTTATCAATTGTTATTGGGGGTATAAAGCTCGATTCGAGGGCACCACCTCCACCAATCTTATCCATTGTTATTGGGGGTATAAAGCTCGATTCAAGGACACCCCTCTACCAATCCCATCCATTGTTATTGGGGGTACAAAGCTCGATTCAAGGCCACCACCTCTACCAATCTTATCCATTGTTATTGGGGTATAAAGCTCGATTCAAGGACACCCCTCTACCAATCCCATCCATTGTTATTGGGGTATAAAGCTCGATTCAAGGCCACCACCTCTACCAATCTTATCCATTGTTATTGGGGGTATAAAGCTCGATTCGAGGCCAAAGTAGGGTCTTCCTCTATTGGAAAAAGGGATAGGCAGAAGCAATGCCATAATCAGGTTTCAAAAGACAGAAACTTATGGAATAATCATGATTAAGAAATAGCTTTCAATCATAGAATTGATTATCATAACAGAATGAAGGCATGAACCGCAGGCGGCGGTGCAAATGTCACAACTCCAAGCAAATCTACCATTGACGACCATGTCAATTAGCAGTGTAAACTATATAGTTTATACAGAAAAATTCAAATTTCCCACAAACAAAAACTAAAAAAAAAAAAAAAAAAAAAAAAAAAAAACCAAGAATTAAATAACAGAAAAATGAAGCATTACATTGAGATAACTGATGATAATGGAGTAATAATGCAAATTGAACATAAATAAGGCAAGACAAATTGAGAATGAATTGAGCACAAAATCGTAGTAAGAAATTAATTCATTTAAAAATTAAGAAACTAAATTTGAAAAATTAGGCAACTTAAAAAAACATAATTCTACGAAATTAAGAATTTACCTTAACGTGCTCAAAACCGCCTCACTGCCGTATAGCTGGGGTATTACTGTAGTAGTATTATGGATTTATTTTTTTTGATGCAAAGTATTATGAATTTATGGCCTGGGAAATGAAATTGGGTTGAGATTAAAAGGGTAGTGTGGTATTTAGCATGTTAAGAGTATGTTCTGTTCACCTTAATTTTAGTTCAGTTCAGTTTTTAATTTCCTTCTCTTATAAACAATTTATTTCAGCTATATTCAGATCAATTCAGTTTAGTTAGGTTGTTTTCAATAAATCGGAACAACCCTAATTTTTTTTTTTTTTTGGTTAAATACTTTCTCTGGTTTTTTAATTGCACCATTTAGGTTGGGCATGAGACTTTAGGAAAAGTGTACTTTTTTTCCAAACATGTTCGACACCAAATGGGACTAGCTTTCTCCGTTTTTATTTAAGTGCCACAGTTTGACCGTCACATCTATCAATGTACAACTTTGACTAATGATATCATTAATTATCAATAAGTATATAAATTATAAAAAGTTGATATTTGGAAGCTTTGCTTTAAGATGATTATAATAAGTACTCATTAATTATATTTTAGTTTACGTATAAAGCATAAACATTGGTCAAAGCAATGTTTATGAATAGTGTCAAATTTAAACTGAGGCACATTAATAAAAAAAAACCGGAGGGAGTAATGGACTACAAAATTTCCTTTCTCTTTACATGACACCAAAGAAATGACTTACAAGATTTGCTTAAAACTGAAATATCACCAAGCACTACCTCAATAACAAAGAGATAAATGGTACCCATCCAGAGACGGGACTGGCAACCACACTCCAAAATGATAATCTCCAACCCACAACGCTTTCGTGGGTTTTGTTGCTATTTTCGAGTATAACAGAGTCAATTTTGTTACTGTATTCGAGGGTTGGGAAAGGGAGGTAGGACTGTTCAATGTTCCAAGACCAGACTGAACAATCAGAGCCTAACTGGATCCAAGACCGAAAATTTGTATTTTAACTTTTAAGAACTGGAGTCTAGACCGATTTAGCTAGGATTGCACCAAAAAATGGTTCTAAAACCTAAATCATATTGAATTGGACTAGTTTTAGAATATTTTTAGAAAATTTTCAAAATTATTTTGGAAAAATGCAAAAAAAAATAAAATAAAATAAAAAAATAAAAAATAAAAATAAAAAATGAAAAAAGAAAAAAAGGAAAAAAAAATTTAATGTCTTTTTTTTTTTTTTTAAGCTAATACAAAAAATCTCATTAAGATTATAAGGATAATCCTTATCATTTTATTAAGGCGCATGCATAAAATAACCAAAAATACAATCTAGTCCAAGACCCATTTTTAAGGAGTTTTCGATCGGACCAAATAGAATACTAGAAAAATTAATTGCTCAACACAAAGATCGGACCCGTTTTTGAACACCCCTAAGGGTGGGGGGCTGTTTATCTGTGGAGCTGAGGTCTTTTCGATGGGTTTAATTTGGCCACGAACGGTGGTCGGGGCTGGTGGCCTATTACGTAGTATTTTGTTTTATTTTATGGACCAATTACGCGTTAACATGTGTCTAAGTAACCTGTTGTATCAGGTTGTTGACCGGTTTTACCTGTTAGGAGAAAGCGCAAGTGAAATTCAGTTATGATCATCAATCAATAACTATTATGATTTGTAATTTTTAGAGTATTTTTACAATATAAAATATGTATTTAAACAGTATAAATATGAGTAGTGGTATTTATACAAGTATTTTATGTAAGTATTTTATACAAGTATTTCATAAATATCTTAAGTATATTTGTTATAATATTTTAAAGCAAGTATTTGAATTTATTTTATTACATTGATTTAATTATGTAAGAATATTGTAGAATATAAACTAAGTAGTATGATCACCCAAATTTAAGGGAATAAGATGATAATTTTATGTAGTGAATATTATAGAAAAAATTAAAGTCAAGAAAATTATTTTATGCTAGAGTATCTTTCTAACTTTTGTAAAATATTTATTATTGCAAAATCTGTGCCTTAATTTTATTTTAATTTTATGATAAATAAATAACTTGAGGAGCAAGTCAAGAGATTTTCATGGCAAGCATGACTAAATGGTAAAGCAACTATATAAACCCATTTAGTTATAAATTTTCAAACTTTGTCGAATATTAAAATCAGGTAAGCATTTTATAAATTTTAAATTTTGGAAAAAAAAAAAAAAAAAGAAAGAAAGAAGAAGGGGTGAAGGCAGCCGGCCAAGGAGCACCGGCTACCCCCACCACTACATCCCACCCAGCTACACGGGGCAGCTAGCACTGCGCCAGTCGACAGCTGCCGCTGCTACCACCGATACCGTGATGGACTGATGGTGGTGCGAGTGTTGTTCGGTTTTGTTAAAAACAAATTCTTTTTTTTTATTTTTTTTATTTCTCTCTTTTCTAATTTAATATTTCGATTTTTTAATTTATCTAATTTTAAGGTTGATTATGATAATTATCAGTTTTAAATTCATGAGGATTAGTTAGTATTGATCATTGAATTTAAGGGTTTTAAAAGAGTATTGATGTAGTATTGAATTAGTTTAATGGTTTGTTTTTAAAAAGGGTTTTAAAGCTTTATAAAAGGAGATTTTAATTTATTTATGACACTGAAAATTTATTTTAGATTACGTGTTTATTGAGAAGTAGTATATATTGATTATGGTTTATTTATGATTTTTAACAAAGGAGTTCATAGAAGGCAAGTTCTAGTGCTTTTGCTTGTTATTGGAATTGCTAGGCAAGGTATGTGCACACATATTCTCGCTCTAGGTTTATTTTATTGCAAGCAGTATCATGTTAGACCTTAGAATTTATGTGTGATGCATATAAGGTCCATGAGAGGCCTAGTTTATTTTTTTTTCTACTTAATATATGAAAAACATGTTTATATGTCGTATGTTTTTTTTATGCAAGTTTGATAGAATGTTAGAATTAATTATATGTATGATTAATTCGTATTTTTTTTTAAATATGTATTCATGAATTTTATTATGTGAACTATGTTAATAAAGTGAAGTAAAGTGATGTGATGATTTTTATTCTGCGAATCAAAGCATGATTATGATGTTAAAGTTAAGTCAAGCAAGTTAAGTCAAACATGTTTATTTTTATTAATTAATCACAATTAATTAATAGGGCATGTGGCTTGGAAGGATTCCTACAAGTATTAAGTACGGGGGAATATAATGTTTTAATGCTTAGTTTCCTAATTGTAGTGTGAGACGTTGCACTACTGTTTTTAATGGAATTCCTAAGATTTTGGTGTTACGTGGAGGCAGATTGCATACACCGTATTATTGGGAAATTGATCCATGTCCTGTTAGAAGTAGTAGAGTTGACAGAGGTCAATGAAATAAGTATTATTGTCACGCCTTCCATGATTTCCGTTCATGTACCTAGCTAAAGTAAAGCAGTGTGTGGTTCCTACATGCATCTGTACCGTGCATCATACAGACATTTCGCGGAAAGAACATATGATACAAATGTAAAGAACATACAACTTTAGTAAAAAGAACATACTATTAAAATGTAATAAACATATATCTAAAGTAAAAAGAACATATTTGCACCAAATTAAAAAAGAATGAAAAGAACATATGTCCTTGTTCTTTAATTGTCGGTGTACTGTAGTTTATTTGTGATATAATGTTCCTTGCTTATTATAAAGTGTTCTTTGAATTTTGTCTTTAAATTAAGGTGGGGATATATAAATAATGTTCGTTACATAATATTATCATGTTCTTTATTAATATTACAGATGTTCTTAAGATAAAAAAAATGGATGTTCTTTACAAAAACAACTATATGTTCTTTACAAAACAACTTTATGTTATTTACAAAATAGCTGCATGTTCTTTTTGCGTTTTTTGTCTGTACCAAGTAAGGTACAGGCGGCGGCTGTACCTTAAAATTTTCAAAAGTAAAGAGTAAAGTGTCTTTAAATGTCTTTATTTATTTATTTATTATAAATATTATTGATTTTTTTAAAAAAAAAATTTGACAGTTGTTTTTTATTTTTTTTACTGTTTTTTATTTAGATGAGAGGAATTATGATGATATTCTTGTGGAAAGGGAAGAGTGGTTAACAGACTATTTTACCCAAATTCGGCCTAAATGTGTCCAGGTTGTAGTTAGAGGTATGAGCGAATTTTTTTTACATAAATTTCCATACCCTTACGATTTCATTTCTTCTTCTACAAAAAAAAAATTTAGGGTCCCTTCGTAGGCGATAGAACAAGTCTTCTCCAGTGTTAAATGAACATCCTTTTTTTGATGTTCTATCTTGTTTACAAGTACATGAAAAGTTGGACTTCCAGTGTTAAGCCCAAACTGATTACTCCATGGTTGTAGAAACAGTTTACATTCTTCATCAGAGTTATTTGATTTTGGTTCTGTAATTGGGACTCCTCCAATGGGCAGGCCATAGACTAAATGAACATCCTCTGGCAGTATTGGTATCTCATTTCCTTTTGAGAGTACCAAAGATGGTCTATCTTGGTCAAAGCTACTGACCAATTCAGCACAAAAACTGCCCTTGTGTGCATCTAAACTTATATGAAGTAATCTACCAAACCCCAAATTTTTGATAGCTTCCTTATGTTGATCAGGAAGGTTTTTTTATAGCTCTTGTTATTAACTGTATGGGGGTGATTCTCTGAATCAATACACGATCTCCTTCTTCTTCTTGATCTTCATCCTCCAAATGTTTAGCCTTTTTTTGCTGTACAACAACAATTGTAGAAGACTGCTTTCTTTTCATCTCTTTTGGAGGTTGGAAGGGGACAATACTTCTCTCAGGAGTCCTAAACATTTAATTTAGGAACATTTATTATATAAGTTAGGAACAATAGGCATATACATTAGGAACATTACGTGTATGTGTTATGAACAATGAGCATTTAAGTTAGGAACATTACGTATATAAGTTAGGAACAATAGGCATATTAGTTTGGAACATTACGTATATAAGTTAGGAACAATATGCATATTAGTTTGGAACACTATTTTTTCTGAATTTTTGCATATAAAATATTAACAACAAGCGTATTAGTTTGAAACATTACTTACTCGTTGTGAATTTGCTCATTTGAAGGTGGTGGCACTGTTATCTTTCCTACCTCTTTTTCAATCCTTTTTCTGTATACTAACAAACGATTTTATACAACAATCTGAAATTCAAATCAATAATCTCAGTATTTCTTAAAGATTAATGAAAATGCGACTTACATGAAGTTGACAAGAGACTTTTTTGCTGGCCTGGGAGCATTTACGGAAGAATCCATAGGGTTTCAATGGAGATTACGAACAGTTTTTTTTTTTTTAAGAAAAAAAATTTGAACAATACGAATTCATTAGAGATTACGAACAGTGTTATTTTTTTATTTTTTTTTTCAGTAATGGGGAAGTGGGATTAATTAGTGGAGTTAAATAGTCTTTAATAATTTTTGACAGTTTTTCAAATTTTAGAGGGAACGTGGAGTTATTACGTGTACTGTTAAACCGCCTCATTATTTACGGATTTGTCATTATTATTGTTCCAGACTTTTATACCTATTGTTCTAAACCTTCATACTTGTTCCAAAATTTTATACCTATTGATCCAAAGCTTTATACTTACTGTTCCAGACTTACATACTTGTTGTTCCAAACTTTTACACGTATTGTTCCAAACTTTTATACTTATTGTTCCAAACTGTTGTACTTATTGTTCCAGACATATATATAATTTCACGTAATTTGTTAATTTATGAATAATTTTAATATAATTTTTTTTATATTATTTGAACTTACTTAGTTCTTTCAAACTACATTGGCTTTGTTATAATTGTTACATGTGATCATATTCTAGAAATTTAATTTCCTAAATCAACGAAATAAAAATAAATAATACTTGTATTGTATATAAATTTAAATAAAAATACTTACGATAACGGGAACTACAGGAACATAGTACCATGTCTCGTCTTCCTTTTCTTTTTTGGTCAACTCCCGACTAATCTCTTTTGCCTTCATCTCAGTCAAACTTGAATTCTTGATTAAATAACAACCCAAGTTTCTTTCTACTAGTCTTTTTATTATCTAATAGCTGATCCTCTTTACTCCC